GGTACGCAAATACATTTTATCTTTATAGATTATATTGATGCCAAATTGACAAGAATACAGTCAACATATGACACTTTTTATCTTGTGTTTCTGGAGTGATGTGGTTTTTTCATAAAAAATTAATTTATATGAGCATAATTCATATTTCTGAAGGGGAAGTTAGCGTAGTATTTTCCACAAGGAAAAGGATGGGAAATTGTCACAAAAGTAATCTAGTTGGGGTCTTGCAAATAGTGACCCTGCAAAATCCCCAGTCTTTGCAAAATATTGCAGTCTGACATGAGACGGCGTCAGACTTGGGTCTTCTGGTGTATGATAGGAATTAAGTAAAGCATGACAGACATACCTGTAGAGGCTTGTCTGAAATGTTTTTTCTCACATGTTCATGTCAGGTATATGAGTTATAGGAGGTAGCTGGCATTCAGCACCAGAGCATTTTGTTAAAGGTTTCCCTGAGCATGAATTCCAACATCCAAACTTTCCATTTTAGACTAGTTTCCTGTAGCTGGTTTGTTGATACAGTAGATTACCGAACACGTCAAGAACTACACCTCTGATCTCTTTCAAAACAAAACCTGTGCCTCAGGCGTCATGGTGCTGTTATTTGGTGACACTTAAGTCCAGCCAGCACAATGTCCACCTGTTTAAACAAGCCAACGCCAAAAGGAAAACACTCCAGAGCATTCCAAGTAAGTTTGACGTGAATATGCCCACATGAGCGCGTGCATGGCATGAGTCTCCAACCTACGTTAAACTCAGCTGTGAAGTTATGAAATGTAGTGGCTCTACTCCATCATCAACTACATCCGTTCTTCAGATTGGTGCAACAGGCCTGCTATAGTGCAGCTTGTTTTTAAGACACCACAGTGGCATTTTGGATGTCCTGAATCAAAAAAGCTACTTACTCATTTATTCACTAATTTTTGCACACGTTCACTCTCTTTTAGCCTATTTTCCTGTGATGGCCATTAGCAGGTATGACAACTGACAATAGCTGACGGTTCAGCAAAAACATGAACTGGCTTCATTTTAGATGGACTGTGTACGGCAGGGTGAGACATGGGAATCCCACAGTACCTTCCCACTGTGTCTTCAAGATGAGAGCACATAATAAGACCAAGCCTGGGGAGTAAATATCCTGAGGCTTGGGAGGACTTAATGTATAGCGTAGGATAATATATGTTTAAGCTTTATTGTCACATGCAGTTGTTTAGTTCTACCGTAACTGTATTTTAACTTAGAAACACAAAGTGAGCATGTGAGACAGAAAAAGCAAATAATGGTTTACTCTTGGTGGCCGTTTTAAAAATGGTGAGAATAGGGCTGCCACTAACGATTATTTTCACTGTCGACTAATCTGTCGATTATTTCTTTGATTAGTCGACTAATCATTTCATCGAAAAATGTGTCAAAATGTTGAACAATGTCGGTCTGTCTCGCCCAAACCCCAAAATTACGTCATCTAATGTCTTGTTTCATACTCGCGCTGAAGGGTTTTAGTTTCACTGTCACAGGAGAGTGTGTAAAGCTGCCAATATCTGAACGTAAGAAGCTGCAGTAAGAGTATTTTGGGGTACTTTTATAGTACTTTTCTATGAAAAATGACTCAAACCAATTAGTCGACTACTAAAATAGTCACCGATTATTTTAATTTTCGATTAGTCATCGATTAGTCAACTAATCGTGGCAGCCCTAGGTGAGAAACCAGTGTTTGCTGTCATAATGAGATTCACTGAGGATGGCTCAGAGGGCCAACAAAGGAAGATGACTTGAGTTGGAGGATGATTGTTTGTCTTTTGGTTTAGGTGTTGTTCAAACAATAACTCATAACTGCAGTCAGACAAAATTCTAATTGACTAAATGACACAATGAGGCTTTAAAAGGACAGTTTACTCCAAAATTAAAAACATATTTTTCCTCTTACTTGTAGTGCTATTCCTTAGTCTAGATAGTTTTGGTGTGAGCTGTCGAGTGTTGGAGATATCAGCTGTAGATATGTCTGCCTTCTCTCCAAAATAATGGAACTAGATAGCACTCGACTACACACTCACAGCACAGAGGGAAATGTGCATCCCCTACTGAGCTAGTTAATGTCACAGCTCAGCTGAGGAGGGCGCCATTAATGTTTACATTTTGCACAAGACTCTCATCCATGAGTAGATGCACACTTCCTCCTGTGCTCTGATATGGCTGCAGTTAAGTAGAAAAAAAATAGTTCCTACATGAAACTGCTCACAACAAGGTCTGTGGATTATCTTGAGTAACCAGGTCATGATTTCTGGAAAGAGACATTGCTTCTGAGTTTTTCAAATGTACTTGTTTGGCGCTTTGAGCGACACAAGCCAAGTGCCGTCTAGTTCCATTAGATTAAAGAGAAGGCAGACATCTCTACAGCCAATATCGCCAACACTCTGCAACTCACACCAAAGCAATCTAGATCAATTAATGGCACTACATATATGAGGAAAAATATGTTTTTGATTTTGGGTTGAACTGTCCCTTTAACATCAAAGCATGAGTTTTGATCACCATGCACGGACCACATGAGTGAATTTCGAAATCAGCACAATGGATCAGAGACTGTTTTCATATAAGTAAGTAACAGCTGTAGGGAAAGACTCAGACGAATAGTTTTACAAGCATTAAAAACTTGGACAGTACTGTGTGACTTAATAGTTTAAGCAGCCAGTGACGGGCAGAGCTGGGGGTCCTGTTACCACTTGCGGACACAGCTACGGAGCTGTGATGCACTTTAGAAAATCCACCATCTAAGACACTGTATTTTATGGTAACATGTTTTAACTGCTCTATGGCAACTTTGGCCACTGAGCTCTACTCTGTGGGAGTTCGTCAATCACTTGACAAACAAATTCTAACTTTTAATAGCAATGAATCTTTAAATAACACATACTCAAGTTATATTTTGATAAAACTGATGTGTTTTTAAAGTACACAGAAATATATTTTTATGCTATTTCTGATTTCAAAATTTACAGAGTCTGCCTTTCAGAAAGACTTGTGTTCAGTGTGCTTTCTGCACGCTCTAAATGTGTGACGCTCACAATTTCTATCTGCGTCATTATTGCCGAAACCTGCAACCCTGATGATCCAGACTCCTCAAGGCTTTCCAGCATATGATAGCACAGTCAGCATCAGCCGATCTTACACGTCTTCATCGATCCTTGACATTTGTCCATAGCCATCATGTTCTCATCATCTTAAATTGCCTCTTTCTCCTACACCTTCAATCAACAAGGAAACAAAATCTGTGTATATTTCACATTGAATACTTTAATCAATAGTGCAGAGTGGCACTCCTTGTTCAAACACACCATAACTGCATGTTGAGGCTGTTAAGAGTGTGCTTACTTTTGTAATGGATGTAAACACAGGAGCCTGCAGACATGTAATATGAGCTGCAAAAAGGAAGGTTTCAAATGGCGTATTTTCCATCTAGAGATCAAACTCTATGTGATCATACGGGAATATACCTCCAACTTTAGAGGCCTGATGCATTTCATCTTGTAAGCTTAGGGTCAGGCTATGCCACCATGACACAGAATATGGTCAAAAAGCATTAAAAGGAGTCCACAAAGACTTCATTGAACTCATATGCATCATAAGGGATGCCGTCACACTGCAGACTACAGATAGCCTCATATATGACCGGCACACCCACTCATAGAAGGAAACATGCTCTAATGTGCATTTTGGCTCCGTCTGTTAGAAGTCTGGTGGAGGGAAAAAAATATCCACAAGACACCAAAAGCATGCTACTTTTGAGAGGCAGGCTATTAATAGGCTTACTCCAGCGACAGAGACGGCTCTTCCCTCATGTTTGGGATCAGCTCCTCACACGGGTGAAAGGAGGGAGGAAGAGGGGGACTCTATTGACACAACACTGAAAGTGACACAAAAGTGTTTCAACTTGAAGCGTTTAATTCTAACAGTCACACTTACTGCCTTCATTTTGAGCTATCCGGTACAGCCTGACGCAGAAACAGCTAGGAGCCCAAATACGTGATAACAGCCATTATGTATCATTCAACAACCTGCACGGACACTCCTTAGGAGGCCTGACACACCTATATTTTCACATAGAGCATGCTTTTGCTTTCTCCAGCCAAGCAAAGTGGCTTTATCTGGAGTGGATATTTGAATGCTGCCTGTTCTCATAAAGATGCAAATGGGATGTTGGTGAGTATAGAATCTCAAGTGGCATCGGTGTTACACATTATAGTGTCTGCTCTAGGAAATACCCTACCTCTTGTTCAGGGGGTTACTGCAGGACAGCCTTGACATGAATGAAAAATAAGTAGGAGGTGTAAAACATCAGCACTGTATGTTACGCTTGGTAAGCAAGCAGCATCTCAAGTGATGCAGTGGGCAACAAAAGTACTCCTACAAGGCAAGCCACCACTTATATCACTTAACTGCTATTGCACTTTCATTCATGGTTTCTGCCTCCCAGCAAACTAATTTAACTTGCATAAGTTTGGTTTTGCTTCTTGTGATGCAGGCAGATTTATGTCAGACTGAAATGTGGGTGTTCTCTGCAAAGGTAAACTGCTACTGTACCCCTGATTACCTCATGTTATATACTGGATAATTGAAAATGAGCATCATGATCATGGCAGTACCGCAGCAGTAACAGGCTACACACTGTGATCAGTACTCACATTTTACACTGCCATTCATACAGAGCAGGCACAGGACGTGAGAGAAAAAGTGGGTCACTGCATGTGTAGAATACATAACCCATAACACATAGAGCTAGCATGTGTCTTTATGGTTATGTGAGGCCCATGTGTTAATGCGTGAGTATAGGTGTTCGGGCTACCGCACGCGGCTTGACACACAAACGAGTCGTGACCAGCTGAGACGTTATTGAGCGTAATATGAAGACGGAGTTGACAGTATATGAGAAAAACAAGTAGAGACACAACATTGGCGTGAATAGACAGCACTGACAGACAACGTTTATCAATGGAGAAACTCACATCCTCGAACAGGGATCCAACGTTGGCTGTCACCAGCAGTATTCCTGTGCCTTGCGCTGCTGTCAGCTTCCCTGCCATAATTCTCTCTCGCAGGTGGGACTTGTACGGAGGACTTTGTAGGTATGGAGAGGAGGAAACAAACAAACAGGAGCCGGCGAATGTCTCACGAAACTGGTTATAACACTGGGAATTTGCTACTGAAGCCGGGGTTGAGGCGGCTCGGCTGGAGCATATTTTTCAGCAGTGGCCGTGCATCTACTAGGAGTTGCTTTGCAGTAGAAGGTCCGTTGGTGGCGGCGGTTAGCGAGCGGGCTTCTCGTGCTACTTTTTCACGTTCAGAGCCATCGTAAAAGTTTCCGTTTTAATCCACGGCGAGTGCCCGAGGGCTCTGGTTCATTTCAGCGACGAGTGTTTCCCCTAGCTTTTGTGCAGTGTAAAAGTCTCCCTCCGAAAGCAGGACTCTCTGCCAGGACCATTGCCTTCACTGTTTAGAGAGGATAGGCTGGAGTCCTTCACTGCTCTGACGTCACTGTGCCAATGGAAACACGGGGCTGTCTTAAAGGGCCAGCGCACCATAAACACAACACTTCTGTCCCTGACATCAAGGCGTCCATTATCGGACACAACTGGGCTGCCCCATAGTGTTTGACTTTTACATGTTGTCCACCTTTGTTGTCTGTAACCATAACTTCAATTTTGTCTTGAGATTAAGCAACTGGCTTTTGTTTATGTAACCTATTTCCACATCTCATGTCATTACATTTATGAAAGTGAAATCAACACATAGGTGTAGATTTTGAGGGGGACACAGGGGGCACGTCCCCCTCAATATTTAGACAATGTGCATTTGCTCACCAAATACAAACAGAGGACTTTTATTTTGACACCTTAAAAGATGTTTATACCATAAATTAATGCAGAAAATGCATGAACTGGTTCATAAAAATTCACCAGAATGCAGGAGAGTAAGCATTTGATGCTCAAAATTTGTAGGCAGAGGACCCCCAACCCCCGTTTCATATATATATTCACCGTTGAAACAAAACCCACACCCTTGAATCTTGAGTTAGTGGAGTGCTTTGCATGAAATTATTGCAAGCTTTAACTTTTTTTTTAAACTTTCAATGAACAGCCTCAAGGTTCTGAGATATCATCTACAACATTGCAACTTCCTTGTCAGCACATTCATGTCCATGAGCACTACTGATACCATGTCTTTGAGAATGCCATGGGCATATCAAGCACCCATACACATTGTTGAGGGTGAATGTTTTATGTCTTACTTGCTGAGTCGGGCAAATGGGTCAGAAATCTACTTGCCTTTAGTCGATTTTTACTTGTCACTGTACAAATTGTTTTACATAATAGCAGCTATTAAACAGCAATGAAGACTTAAGTTAATTGTCATGATTCATTTTTATTTAGGTAAATTAATCCGAACAAGGACACAGTATGATACTTACTTTTTTACCTCTTGCCATACTGGGCAAGTAAATGACTAGATTTACTTGCCTAAAGTAGTATTTTTCTTGCCCCAGCTATGGAGCAATCCTACTTGTTGAGCCCTGAAACATACTGTTTGCTTGTTCATGTTTCAAGCAGAACATATGCAGTCCAATGGCTAAATTTAGCTGACATAAACCACCTGAAGTTACCACTCATGGATTCCTTTTTTAGAGGTGAGGTTTCCTTAACTATAGTCCTGAGGTATTTGTATGAGTTTAGGCATGTCAGTCTAGTCACAAACTGTAAACCAGGGGGACTATGGAGGTAAGAGAAGTTTACAGGCCAACATATATTGTTCAGGATTTTTTATTTGTGTGTGTGTGTGTGTGTGTGTGTGTGTGTGTGTGTGTGTGTGTGTTTGCATTTTTTTTTATTTCCTGTACTGGATAGTTCAATGTGGAGATAATAAGAGTATGTTTGTGGGAGAGATTGGGAGCTGATGGAACTGTCCTTTAAAGATGTCTCATTCTATTTCTTTTATTTTCAACTGAAACATCATCTCTGGCATGGAGTATTATTTTTAAAAACTGGTACATTTGGGGCGTCATTGGATTAGTGGCTAGAGCAGATGTACAAAGGTTTTGTCCTTGCTGCAGTGGCCCAGGTTCGATTCCAGCCTGCAGCCTGTTTCCTCTCTCTCCGCCTTTCACGCTTAACTGTTGTATCAATTAAAGGCAAAAATAATGTAAAGAAAAATGGTAGATTTACTGTAATTGGAGACATATTTCATACCCCATTCATAACGCTGAGATCAACTTGTCAAGTTGCACCTGTCCTGGTTAACAGTGTTAATAAAGTCTGTTCGAACATCTGTAACCTAGCATTGGATGAACAAGTCACACCACCTTTTTTTGTTGTTGTTCTTTTTAAATATTTTGACATGTCACTGTAGGAAAAGCATAGGTGTAAATAATAAAAATAATGATGGCTGCATTCCATGTAGTTGCCTCAGTGTTAGAGTTGTAATATTGTGCATGCTGACTCACTGTCACACTGTTGTGGCTTACCCAGACAATTGAATTCAATGGTACCACTTTTATTGTTATTAGGAAGACTTGTACTTTTCCAACCACACCAAGTCAAGATGTCTGCTGTGAAAAAGGTCAGTAAGCTCAAAAGTATTACACTTTGCACAGGCTGATCCAAATAAACAGCACAGTGGCATGCAAACACCCACAACTTCACCATCTAACACAAAAAAACATTTTAGATACTTCATTCCATATGGTGAACTACAACATACAGAAAATTACAAAATTTTCCCTGAAAAGTTGCACTAAGGGATTTTTGACCACTGGGGGACTCCAAAACAAACTATTTAATACCTGCACATTCAACAGAAACAGAGAAATGTGGATATGTCTTTGCAGTCTTTGCAGTGCCTTGTCAAATGTTCACTGGCATCTCATTAGCTTGCTAGATGTTACACTTTCTCCATCTGCCATTTCACACTGGGCAGGTAATGTAATGTGAATGAGCTTGAGGGCTGAGAGGATGGCTGCACGTACTTAAATAAACCATAACTGCTTTTGTTTGTGGAACCTAGATACCAACACTATGAGGTGAAAACGGCTTCAAATTGCACAAGGCTTTAGCCTGAAGTGTTGCTCACTAGTGTGTACTAGAAACTATATATAATACATAATAAATTAAACCCCTTTCTCTCCAAATTTGGGTGTTTGTGCAGGTTTTGTAAACATCGAAAACCCAGCTAAGAATAGCTGATGGACTCCTTTTCCATTGCCAGTAGAACAGAGCCCTGTACATGACTCTGTAGTAGACAGGTATCCTTTTTTCTTTTTTTTGCTGGTGTTTCACATTCTGTGTTATTAAAGTACTTACTTTTTTATATCTTACTTAATCAGTGTCTCTTTCAAACTCAATATCAACTAATGTTGAACAATGTTTGAGCACTGTTTTGATGGAGACTGACAGTATTTTGTGGTGGCGTCTCACCACATCACACTGGAAAAGGGTCTACTCAGGCACGTGTGCATGAATGTCATAATTCCATCCCTGGCGATTGGAGCTGGAGCCAATAAATACCCATGACTTCTGCAGAGTCATTGGTCCTGAGAATGAATGCCTATTGTAACCTTTTACACTAAAAATAAAAGCCATATATTAGTGGGTGTTAGTCGGTTTTATATCTAGTGGGAAAGGGGCTTTACAGAGAGTAATTTGATTCATTGCTAACATAAAAAATGCACTGTAATACATGCCTCAGACCTTGGAGCAGTCATTATGCTCTTTAAGGATCTGCTTGGTAAATGGTTGGGCTTTAAAACAGCTTGTCCACAAGCTGAAAACAAAACCATTAGCTCACTAGAGTGAATAACATGGAGTGTTAATGTACTCTGCTTCAATGCATTAAAATCTGCAGTCATAATAAGGGTTTAAAACAACATGGATATGTCAACATTATGTGACAACTCTGATAAATCTTGACAAGAACTTCTGTAAACTAGTGGATGCTTTATAGCACATAGCAACCTGATCTCACAGAAATACGTGAAATGACCACGACCTATTAACACCGCATTCTGTGGTGGCAGCACGTAATGGGTTGAAATTACGTGCTGCCACCACGAAAACAATGCCAATGTAAAGTCAGTTAGGGTCCTCTCCCGTGGTCACATAGCTAGCACACTAATCTGTGTAACTGTGCTCAATCAGCAGACAGTTAAAATGGCCCTGACCTGACACACATGTCGTAACATGTTGTGCCCCAGCATTTAGACTAGAATTGCCCTTTCCAAAGCACATGCAATCCTTGCACAGACCTAGACTCCATTTGCCAAATGTGGACACGCACTCTTTGATCTAAAGATTTCCTACTTAGTTTTTTGGCAGGAAGATTTGGGAAAAAATTCATATTAAAAGACTGGAAACCAAATCAGTGTGCATGACTGGATTTTGCCAAGGGTGCTCAGAGACACAGCCAAAGCCATGAGTAATGGATTATTGTGAATGAGAATGGATCATTATATGCTCTCTCCTGGCTTCACAGAACCTGTTTGTTGACAAAACATTTCTCATGCAGCATTAGCTTACCTGTTCACTGGCAGAAGACTCAGGACTGAGCTGGGAAAACACAGGTAACTTCATGTAAAAACTAACTGCTTAGGCTGAAGAATACACCTGATCATGTGTACAATATAAAAGTGATGTGCACTTGTGTGAATGCGGAAAGCTCCCCACTTGTGGTCATTAGCAAAACTGTCTGAAGAATAATGATCAGTGATTTTACTTCCTGTCAACTTTTAGCTTTTGAAAGCCAACATCTGGCAGAAACACAGCATGACTCTTCTGCATTGTTCACACACCATCATGTATTAATTACAGTCATGCTTTTCTTGCGGCATGATGTGATCTCCCCTGATGGTTTTGACGGAGCCCAGGACCATAAATAGCCCACTTAAGTCAAAGGTAGTTTGAGTTCAGCAGCATAGGGCAGGCATATGACACGCTGGATAACACCACAATTAGCTCGTGCTCTTAAGCGGACAGATGAAGTAACACAGTCAGAGTGCAGCCTCACTGTATTGAGTATGTTAAATAAATGTTTAGGCTTCTCATGTTGTATTTTGTGTGACTTGTGCTGTATGTCACCACATTCAGTGAGCATCCAGCTGTGCAGAGATGACAGGAGGGTTCGGCAGCAATCCTTACATAGCAAAAGGATAGCTCATGTCGCGTTTATGTTAACAGCATCAGACTAGTGTGAGTGTCTATGAGTGTGTGTGTTTTGGGAGGGGGGCCGTGGTCATGGCTCACTAAGAGTCTTTCAAGAAAGCCGAGAGATTACCGCCAAAACGAGAGTGCTCACAGCTGTGTCTGGCATGGGCAGAGTGTGTATGTGTGTGTGTGTTGGGAGAGAGAGAGTGTGTCGATGCGATTACCATGTTGTGATTGTGTTTGCATGATGTTTATTTACACGTTCTGTGTGTGTGAACATGATATGCTACAGAATATCTATAATCAGTCATTCTGACACAAGAG